TCCAAGTTTAACGGTTCAACATCAAGAACTAAAAACTGCATGAAATTGCAAGTCCTGTATGGAAAAGTCTGAATATATATATATATTCCAAGATAATTCCTCTCAAAAAGGTGAAAAAAAGTGGGCCATATGTTGGACATGTCTGTAAGGCCATGAAGATTTACCCATTTTTCTAAAATGTTAGTTTAGCTCTCATACTTGGTTCACTGATGCACTTCAAGTTCATTTTCATCCATGGTATGAGGTAGGAGTTGAACCTCACTCTCCAGCACTTATAAATCCTGTTGCTCCAGAATCATTTCTGAGGATGCTGGTGTCTTTTGTTGTGCTTTTATCTGTGATTTTCAAGACAGATCTATATAGCCCAGGCTGGCCCCAAACTCATGGCAATCTTCCTATCTCAGCCTGAGTGCTGGGATTACAGGCACATGCTACTACAGCCAGCTTCTCTGTTCTTTTAATGGACTTGGGCAGCCTTATTCAAAAAAAAGGCCATACAGGTTTACCTCCAGTCCCACAATCCCACTCCACTGGCCTATGCTTATTCCATTATCAAATTTTATTAATATTAAATAAAATTATTTAATAATAATTTTATTATTAAAAAATAATTTGATATATAATATCAAATTATATATACGATTACTTGACTACAAATAAAAATATTCACAAAAATAATCTCTGAGAAGGCCTGTGACCCTTGGCGAGACTGGAAGACTCCTACCTGAGAACACAACTGGCTTGGAGGACTCCTTGGCCTGCCGGGCATGCTGCTTCTTCTCCAGTGCTGCTAGCATGCCTCCCAAATCCAGCTGCACTGGAATCTGGCTTTTCTTTCCACTATTTTTAAAAGTATTCTAAAAAGTTAAAAAACAAAACAAAACATAAGTTACTTGTAAGTTTGACACACTGAACTAACCATTTTACAAAAAAAAAAAATACAATTAAAAGATTAAAATGACAGTCATTATAAAAGTCATATTTTAAAAATCAAGTAATTAAAGAAAAAGCACCAATGTCACATATGCCAACAGTACTGAAGTTGTGCCTCCTCTTCCTTCCAGAACACTGAGTCTGGACTAAGTCACCTCCAGTTCTGTCTGCACCTCCACTGTGAGGGAGGGTGTGCATCTCCAGATACCAAGTCCTATCTAATACAGCATTTGCTACAAAAATTTGTGTGTGTGCCTCCTTGATTACTATCTCTAGCACCATTCTCTAACTGCTCTAGTAAATCAACAAACTGTCATGAAATTACAGTGCTAGGACCAAAATCTACACAGATGCAAGTCATACCCAGCAGATAATACCAAATGTAAGCCCCGAAGTTTGATGTATTCCAAAAAAATGCTATATGTGAAACACTCTCAAAGCTGTGATTTGAGCTTTGAGGCTATATACAAAGATATACAAGAAAGCCCTGGCACACTTCTTCAGGCATGCAGGCCCTCTACTCTAGGACCACCATGCCTTCCCTCTCCTGCTGTCACCAACAACCCTACTTGGCTGAGGGCTCCCAGCAGAGAGAGCACTCAGTGCACCAAAAGGCAGGCAGAGGGACCTGCTACAGAGCAGAGTACAGGGAACTGCAACAAACATGCTCAAGGATTAGAACTTTTTATAAATGCAAAAATATTTCCAAATTATCTACCTCCTTTAAAAAGTAAAACAAGTATGATGGAGAATAAGTGCCCCACAGAGTGCAAGTGCCTCATTATGATCCACCACTCCCTGCTGAATCCATGAGGCTGGGGGCTACCCCACAGGCTTCTGTGCTGACTGTGTACAATGAAACTTTGGTGCTTATTTTTTTCCTCTGTCACACTTTACCATCTAGCAAATAAATGCTGTTTCCTGAATCAAGTGAGTCAACTTTCTTTCCACTAAAGTTTCACAGGGTAGTTAGTGTTCCTGCCTTTCTGATAAAGCAACTGCAGGAACCAGTAGTTTTATCACAAATGGGACACAGCATCTTAGCTTGAGAGTTAACTCTGTTTCAACACAACTGCTCTCCCTATGAAAGAATGAATCAAAACAAAACCACCTTAGTACACACAGATGTCTGAAAAGTAGATTTTAGGAGTTTAGTTCACAAGGAAAGCTAAGCATAAAGCAATTGTGGTTTTAATCTAAAAATTACCTGTGGCTGATGTTTAGATTGAAATTTCGGTGACTCTACTCTGTCTCTTCTTTCAGAAGCAACTGCCAGATTGGGAAACTCCTCGGCATCCTAAGTAAACCACACACCCCTTTAGCTCTTTACCCATCAGAAGATGCAAATATGCCAAGTACAGTCTTTTCCTTCTTTAATGAGAGTCCAGGAAAGTTCTTAAAACTGATGCGGAGGGCTGGAGAGATGGCTCAGTGGTCTAAAGCACGTACTTGGAACAAGCTTGGCAAAGCACAGGGACTGCGGTTCGATCCCCCAGCACCACATGCCAGCCAGCTGCGCCCCCTGGTGGGCTGAGCTGGCCACACACACACACACACACACACACACACAATAAATAAATAAATGTTAAAAAAAAAAAAAACTGATGCAGAACATCCCCAAAATGCTAACTTAAGAGCTGCTTTGATTCTTAAGAGTAAATTTAAAGATCGTACTTTGAATGCACATATCCCAGAAAAAGAGTGCCACCAAGGATCCCAGAGGCCTACAGAACCTACCCTGCACTACCCCAGCAGGACAGGCCTGGAGTTTATATCTGTCTGTTTTCTGCAGTACAACAGGCCCCCAGATACCAAGACCCATGCAAGTAGCCATGTGTGTGTTGGGCATCATCACAGTTGTGTTGCTGTGTGTTCAATGAACAGTGCAAGAATGTACAGCAGCACAGCACAGTGGAGGACTCACTGTATCTGTGTGCTTGGATTACTTACACTTTACGTTATGTATCTGTATCAGAGGTGTGTAAGACTCACTTTGTCAGATTTACCAACAAACGTGACTTACAAACACTCTGCTGCAACAGAACTTGCTCCTAAATCAGGGACTTACTGAACTAGGGAATGAGCCTGGGACTTACCCACTGAACTTTCCTCTGGCCCCCTTTTTATTTACTTTTTGGTTTTTTTAAATGTTGAGTCCAAGGGGCTGGTGAGACTCAGTGGTCTAAAGTGCCTGCTTAGGCAAGCTTAGACAGGCGCAAGGAACCATAGTTCGATCCCTGGCACCACATGCCGTGCCAGCCCCACATCCAGTGTGGGCTGAGCTGGCCAAAAATAAATACATAAATTTTGAGTCCAAGTCTTATTAAGTCACTGAGTTGTCCAGGATGGATCACACTTGCACTCCTACTGCCTCAGCTCCCCAGGGTGCTAGGATTACAGGTATGCATCACCAGGCCCAGCTCAAGACCTTATTCTGTAAGGACTGTTTTCATTAGAAAACCCATCAAATCTACATTCAGATTGTGTTCTCAAATTTGTGCTCTATTAGGTTACTCCACAGAGACAAAGGCCAAATCCTGCTATAACACAATTTTAAACTTTTAAAAAAATCTTAGGTTCTTTTGCCAACATTTTGTCATTCTGTCAACATGTTCAGCACTCTGAGCAAAGCTATGTGGGAAACACAGGTCAGAAATGTCTACTGTTCCCTGGCCTGGCCATAATTCTCTGGCACAGGTTTCCACACAGGTATATCTACTCTGGAGGGGGCATCCAGGAGCCTTGCGACCCACTCCTACAAATTTGTAGGGGTGACCCAGGTTTGACCCTAAGGCTGGACACCGGGGCAGCATTTCTTGTGCCTGCACATGCAGCCAGGATGGCTGAGTGTAGAAGGGTAGTGTGAGAAGACAAGCAGGTCTGTGAGGAAGGAGTGAGAACCTAGCCTGGCTTCTTTATGTACCTGGGCATTACCAGAGTGTCTTGGGACAATAGGGGCACTTGTGGAAGTACTATGCACCAAGATTTCTAAGTAGAAAAGAAAGTTTTGTAAAAGCCAACATAGTAAGGCAAGTGAAACAACCCAGAAGAGAACTGAGGGGAGCTGTTAGTGACATGGCACACCTTCACTCAAATGTTTCCTGAGCACCTGCTAGGAACCGAAAGGAAAGGAGGACAGCAGGTGTCTGCCACATTCCTCAGCACTGGGGAAGGAGGTATTGGAGAGAATGCTGGAGAACTGCACTCAGGAAGCCAGTGTGGGCCCATTTGCCTATGAAGAAGGACCCTTTCCTAATATCACACTAAGTACATAATAAATACAAATGTACTTCAATTCTTGGTGGCTCTTGTACTGTCAGGATTTCATATTTTGACTGGGACTTCTCTTTCTTTTTCTTATTCTTCCTCGAGGCTTCATTTTGTTCAAGGTCACCACCTTGTGATGCTTGAGACTAGAACAAAGAAAGCAAAAACTACATTTTTATAGCATGCAATACAATCTTTAATAATATGTCTCAGAACAAAATTAAGGTATCAAGTTGTACCACACATGGCAGTGCAAGCCTGTAATCTCAAGCACTGAGGGAGGCAAAACAAGAGAATCCCAAACCTGATTCCCACAGGGCAGCTCAGCAAAAGCCTGTTTCAAACAAATGAAACAGGCTGGGGACATAGCTCAGTGGTAAAGCATACCTGGGCTCAATTGTCACTTGTACTCCTTAGCCAACCTCCTGTTTGTCAAGGTGCAAGTACAACAAGCTGAGGTTAGTGAGTGCAGGATAGAGTGCTTTTGATTATGGTAAGGGAGAGAAGAGAGTAGCCAATGGCAGGGAAAGTCATTACTATCAAAATGTGCGGCATGCATCATTTTTTCCAGTTGTTACACTGTGAAATGGTATAGAGAAGTTGTGCCACCAGAGCTATGTTTCCGCACACGGGCCACAGTGTCACGTGCATTTCATGTAGTGCCACCATCACCGCCTTCCTCCTCCAGGGCAAGCGTCCCTACTCCCCTTCTCCTCAGCCCTAGCAGCTACCACCTTACTGTTTCCAGTGATACATACCTTTTCAGTAGGATGAACATGTTTCTCATTGTAGGAAGGATCTGAAGATGCCAAATTAACACTTTTAGGATCTGCTGACGAAACAACAGTCTTCAGGTTTATCATCGAAGTAACATTCTTGGGAGCTGGTGACGGTTCTGAAGATAACGTCTGCCGAACAATATAACCCATTGGTGTCCAAGATAACTCTGCTCAAAGATAACCAAAATTGTTGACCAACCTCAACAGTAAACAGAAATTCTACAGTTACTCAAACATGCATTAATAAGTAATTACTCAGGGTATAACTGAAATTAGGTTACTGGGCAAAGCATCCCACTGGAAACCACAGTATCATGAGACTTATTTTCTTTCTGGGAGCGTGCATGCTGAATTTTTCTCTTTAACTTGTTAGGGTTAATTGGTTCTCCTAGTCTCTCAAGTAGGCAAGGTGAGACTGGGGTGGAAGTAGAAGACAGACAATATTTTAGTTAAAATACAATCTGCAACAATACCCATGTGGCAAGCACACAGAACTGAAGAGGTAAAATCTGGCCCTACTAACCTTGTTACTAACCTCAATTGATGTATACCTTTAACATCGGGAGTTAAAGATTTCTAGACTTCAGCTATCACAATAACTGGTCATTTATTTCTTTCAGAACACAGGTATAAGTACAGCAACACTACTCCTCCCAGGTGCCCATGAAACTCTCTCTACACAGACAAAATAAAAGGACATCCATCAGGACCTGGGGAAAGGAACATCTGTCTGCAGCCTGAGGCACCTGCGAACGGTCAACTGTTCCAACTACGCTCAGCCTCACACTCGGAACAGTAGTGGAAATGAAGCGCCACAGAAGCACATGTGCAGCAAACACAGCAGTGCACGGGAAAACACACCAGAGAATAAACTTGAGTTTTCCATTAGCACAAAATACCATGAATTTCCAGATCACAATCTATCATACTCGTCTGAATAAATTACTTCATAGCTGAGACAGGACAGATGGTTCCTGGGATCCTTTCCAGGGCCCACTGTGTGCGTCAGTTGTCTTCCTCACTCTCCCTCTGTACTGAGTGCACGAAAGCGCATGGCATGTGCCAACAAAACAGCCAAACACCAAAGCAGGTCTACAGAGCCAGATGGTACAGACTCATGTGACGGTAAAGCTAGGCTCCCTCACTTGTTCTGTAACTTTGGAAAAGTTTTAATAAGCATTCTCTCTTTATTTCCTCTTTTTGAGATAGGGTCTCACTGTAGTTCAGGCTGGCCTCGAACTCGCAGCAATGCTCTTTTTTTTTCCTTGTATTTTAGGGAAGGGTCTATAGGGTGTTCAGGGTCTCACTACTAGATCAGACTTGTAGTGATCCGCCTGTTTACAGCCTCCCACGAGCTGGGATTATAGGCACGTGCCACCATGCCCAGTCTCAATTGCTGTCTCAGCGTGCCCTGAGGGAAGGGCTGGCAAGCAGGGCCAGGGACTGAACCCCAGCCCCTGCTTGCAGGCACTTTAATCTGCTGAGCTATTTGGCCGGCCCTGCATAGTTGTTTTTTTTGGTTTTTGTATAGCAGCAATGCTCTTGCCTCAGCCTCCCAAGCACTGGGATTATAGCTGCGCCACCACACCTAAGGAGCACTCATTACTTCTAAGTGAACTGGGATTTAAAAACCTTTTCACTTTGAACATGGCAAAACTGTCACCTGAACAGATAGAAGTTCTCTAAGGCTCTCAATTTTTAAAGGTATTTGGGGTCCTGAAACTAAAGCTTTTAAAAATAGCACAGAAGGAATCATTTCTAAGGTTCATGAAATTCTCACTTAATTGGATGTGTTTCAATTAAAATTCTCATTTCCTCACACTTCTTGTATAGAGATGCATGACCTCACTAAACATTTTAATTTAACATCATCAACTCACTAGCTGCCTTTTTGTCAAAAAGGCTTTAAAACAAAAAACATGTAATTGTGTTGAAGTTAAAAATGAACTTGGAAAATACATAGCTCACTGTAAAACAAACAGCATTTTGCAGTGATTCTTACCTCTGGTGCATGACAGGGAACTGGAAGCAGCATTACCAGTTATAGATCCACTTGGGCCTTTTTCCACCACTGTCTCACCCTAAAAAGAAAATACATTAGATGTCATCAGGGAAATTCAAAGCAGCCATCTACCACCACACATCTTTTAAGAGTACAGACACTGCGGTGAGGCTAGGAGTGAAAGGAACCCTCGTGTGGCTGGGGCAAATGCACAATGTGGCCCTGCAGAAGACGGTTTTGCACTTTCTTATGAATGAATTATCAGGCCACAAATATGCAGAGAGGAAACTTAAATGCACAGTTTAAAAGTGGGAAAAGAGGCCAGTCTGGAAAGTCTACACACATTGTATGACTCCAACTGCTGACATTCTAGAAAAGGAAAAACTGGATCAACAATAGATCAGTGTCTGGTAGGGGCAGGAGTACAATGAGCAGGCAGAGTTTCCAGGGCAGGGCAATTTCTCCACATGATGCTCTCATTGTGGACACAGGTTATGTGTTAGTATAAACCTGCAGAATATACAGCACCAAGAGCAGATGCTAATACAAACAACAGATACTAGAAGACAATACATAGAAAGAGTAACGGGAAAAAACACCTCTTATCTACAACTTGGAACAGTAGACTTCTATTTCTTTGCCTACTATACAAACATCCACTGTTACATAGATCCAACAATGGGATCACATACTCATAACAATATGCGACTTCTAACAGACAGCTCTTCAGGCTCCTGACTCTTCCAGATGCAGTGTTCTGGTGTGAAAGCCAAAGACAACATTCACTAGCCCACATACCAGGGTCTACAGTAGCCCAACAAATGTCCAGAGATCAGAAACAGAAGCAGATACCACTGTGCCCTTTCAGGAAGACATGGCCTGCCTCACACAGTGGACAGAAGGCCTGCGAGGATACTGTGTAGCTCAGAGATGTGGTCACATCACCTTTAACCCCAGCACAGAAGGATTTTGAGCACCATACCAGCCTGGACTACACAGCAAGCATTTACCTTAAAACAAAACAGGTCTAGGCCTGGGGATACAGCTACTAAGAGAGCCAAGGCAAGTTCCAACTGAGTCTGAGTAAGACAGTCTCAAAATAAAACACAGAAGTGACTGGGAACAGTGCTTGGTTAGATGGCCCTGTTCCATCCCAGGACACAATAATGAACTAATTTAAAAGGCTGCGGTTAAGTGGGTGGCATATGCCTGTTATCCCAGCACTCAGGGACTAAGGCAGGAGGTTTTACCAGGAGTATGAGTTTATGGCCAGCCTGAAACACAAAGGGACATCCCGTCTCAAAAATTCAAAGGAAGTAGGGTGCCCCTGGGTTCAAACCCCAGTAACACAGGGAGGAAAAAAAAAACACATAGTATTCTTTTAATAAGTATAACTTTTATAGGGCTGGTCAAATAGCTCAGTGGATTAAAGTGCCTGCAACAGGTGCAAGGGCCAGAGTTTTAATCCCTAGGCCTGCCATGCTGGCTCTACCCCCTGGGGCAAACTGAGACTGGGTGTGGTGGTGAGTGCCTACAATCCCAGCTCTTGGGAGGCTGCAAACAGGTGGATCAGTATGTAGACCCTGTACCAAATACATTAAAAAAAAAGAAAAAGAAAAAAAGAGTTGGTTGTGGAGGTGCACACCTGCATCCAAGCATGGCTCAGAGATCAAGTCTATAGCCAGCCTAAACTACATGGTGAGACCCTGTCCCCAAAACAAACAAAATAATATTATAAATAATATTAAAAATAACAAAATAAGATTATAAATAACAAACCAAGTCAGGTGTGGTGGTACACACCTGTAATCCTAGTATTTAAGAGGCTGGGCATGACTGCAAGTTCGAAGCCAGCCTGAACTCCATAGTAAGTTCAAGGCCAGCCTCAACTATGCAGTGAGACCCTGTATCAAAAAAAAAAAAAAAAAAAAAAAGTAACAAATCAAAGGTAATCAACTAAAATAACATTTGTTAAACCTGCAATTAATAAGACTGGAGACAAGGATTTTGTTTGTGTGTGTGTGTATGTGTGTTTAACCAGGAATTGAACTCAGGCCCTTGCACTTGCCAGGGAAGTGCTTATTCTACTGAGCCATCTCCCCAGCCCCAGAGACAAAGATTTAAAAAAAAAAAACCTGGAATATTCAGAGCTACACTGCAGTTTTAAACAATACTATTTCTCTTTAAGTCTTTTTCTCTATATTCAAAAAGTGCCGAGACTGCAACATCAACAGGCAAAAGGAAGTCCATCATGTGGTTCTTTTACAAAGGCAACTGATAAGGTATTACAGCTTCAGTGTGGACAGCTCAAATAACAGCAGGCAGCCAAGGACACCATGAAAGGCCTTCCCAGGACTTCCTCCTTGCAACATGGATGTCACAGCCCACAGAAGGATTTAATGGGCCGTGTTGGAAATGAGGAAACGGAAAAGGTGTATGCTGAAGAGAAAGAAAGCACAAGACAGACAATTGCTCTGCCCTCCCGCACTGACCCCCCACTCCAACAGGTTCTCCCACCTGTTCTACAAGAGACACGGTGGAGCTGGACCGCAGAGGTCCCCATGTGCACTGCTTCTGTATCCCTGACATATTGCTCTCCGGACTCTGCAATTCAGGAAAGTCCAACCTACTAAATTCAAACTCAGGTTTGGAGGTAGATGGAATCTGTTCAGTGGTTCTGGACTTCCTGTCTGTTCGCTTATGGTAACCATCTGGAATTACAGAATAAAAAGTAGATGTAAAAATGCAGATGAAGTTTGATGACTATTAATCAAACTTAAGTCTCAGAGGAGAAAGACCACTCTTCGAGGCATCAAGTTGCTGTCAAAATGTCCTGATTTTGCTGATGCTGTCAACCTTCTTTTTAATTTAACCTTATTTATTTGATACTGGGTCTTACTACACAGCTCAGACTGATAGTGATCCTTCTGCATCAGCCACTCCAGTGCTGGGATTACAGGTGTGCATCACCATGCCTGGTTTCAGTAGCTGGCATGACCCACTCAGGTTCCAGGGCTGGTGTGGCATGTTACCTAGGGATTGAACATGGGTCTTTGCACTTGCCAGGCAGGCACTTAAGAGTGCTGAGCTATCTCCTCAGTCCCACCCTTCTTCATAGGCGTATGGAAGACAAATGACCAGAGGCATCAATCACTCAGGTTGGGCCAGGATTTAGAAAATCAAAATGCATTTTGAAATTTGGGAGAAATTCTAAAGCTGATCAAATAGCTACCTGAAACTGATAGCACAACTGAGCACTTTAATTATTCCTAATACATGTTTCATTTATAGGGGGGTGGCTGAGGTCTTGCTATGTAGTTCAGGTCGGCCTTGAGCTCACTCTGTAGCCCACGCCGGCTTTGAACTCACACTGAATCTTCTGCCCCAGCATTTCCGAGTGCTAGAATTATAGGTGTGTGCCACTATGACTTGATTCATAATATACATTTTAGAGTTTGGGCAAATTTAAGGGGATTTTAACAAATTCCCTACAACTAATAAACTTTACACTTTTCAGATTGATAGACCTGGAACAAATTAAAGGAAAACAAGTAGCGTGAAATTTATGGCCTCTGTCCCACTTTTGTCCATAAGTGCAGCAGATGACATGCAGGCTCAGTGCCATGAAGTCCCTCCTGGAACTGCAAGGTTAGAGTTCCTCTTTCCTTTCATACTCCCATGTGACCAGTGAGTCACATAAGTGGAGTCAACGAAAGAGAAAAATGCATAAACCAAGAAAACTAATTATATATGTAAATAAACTGTATTCCTAGTAACAATTACAAAGACTGTCAGTCATATATAAATAATCAAACTGGGCTGGTGGGATGGCTCAGTGGTCTAAAGCACCTGCTTGGAACGGGCTTGGCAAAGCACAGGGACCACGGTTCGGTCCCCCAGCACCACATGCCAGCCAGCCCCGCCCCCTGGTGGGCAGAGCTGGCTACACACACACACACACACACACACACACACACATAATTAAAAAAATAAAAAATAAAAAATAAAAAATAAAAAATAAAAAAAAATAATCAAACTGCAGCAGGAATCTGTGGCACAAATACAAATGGTGTCCTCTGAGCTCCTCTGAGTTACTACAACGGCCAGGTTTGGTATTATTTAAGGTGGGCCTTTAACTACAGTTAAACTCTCCCACCTAGTAAAAGTCTCCTGTCAGAACACAGTCAAATACAGTACAAAGGACATTACTGTAATTTGCGGTCATGTTTTGAAGCTTGCAGACATCACCTATTTGCTAGGTGATCTGAAACTCCATGAAAAGCAGTCCTAACCGGTGAAGGCCCCTCCTCAGTGCAATGCACATTACCACACTATGATCCTCTGCCTGAGACAGAAAAGGCTTGCACGTCCCATAGGAAGTCGGAGGCCCTCAGCTGTGCTGGGCTCCAGGTCTCATTCCCCGCAACAGTCACGATGAACAAGCCCACAGAGATGGCGAAGCTGCTGGCGTGGGTGATACTCCCCACACAGTCTGTTATTTTTACCTGGTTTCAATCTATTCTCAGCATGAATGGACACATGGTGGGGACCTCTGTCTGGCTTGATCTCAGATGGTGATGGGGCCTCAGTTCTTTTAAATTTTTGCTCATTGTATATTTTCTTCTCATCACAGGTTTTTTTCTGCAGGAGATAAAAAAATAACATAAAATAAGAAAAATTACCACTACAGAAAAAAGCTTTAAAAGAGTAAATTAATAAGCAGTCACAATTCATTTTTAAAAAGGTTAGACCAAAGGCTAAAGACAACCCCCACAAAAAAGTGGTGCTTAACTATCATGCAAAAACATAGCGATTTCTTACCACATTAAAGCAACTCACTTGGGGCCAGGGAGATGGCTCAGTAGAATAAGCACTTGCCTGGCAAGCTCAGGGACCTGAGTTCAATCCCTGGTTCCGAAAACAAACAAACAAACAAAAAAAAAAAACTATCTCTCAAAGCAACTCACTCAAGGATACAACAAAAAGCATTTCCTCACCTTTAGTGGAGCTTTTCTTTCTTGTGGGACAGCACACATATGTTCGTTTTGGGGCTTCACAGTCCGAAAACTTCGGTGACGACTGGGTTGGCTGTAATCATGCCGTGAGGCAGGCGCTGAGCACACGTTCTGTGTAGACTCGAAGGCATATGGAGGGTAAGCGTAGGAATGTAGAGTTACCTCTGAAGACAGATACTGGGGCGGAAATGCTGAAGCTCTGAAGGCTGTGTCTTCTGTATATATTTTCTGTCTAAAAAGTATAAATTATAGTTGTATATTTCATAATATAAATTAAAGAGCTTAAAAGTTTGTAATATGCTGGGTTTTTTTTTCCTGGACTCGTAGTGATCCTTCTTGTTTTTCAGCCTCCCAACAGCTGGGATTATAGGCACGTGCTACCACACCCAGTGTCATTCACCATCTCAGCACGCCCGGAGAGTGGGGCCAGCACAGCAGACTGGGAATCAAACCCCCAGCCCCTGCATCTGCCTAAGCAGGTGTTGCTATCTGGCCAGCCTAATATGCTGACTTCAATATAATTTTTAGATCACTTGCTCTAGACCTAGAATAGCCCTCATTAAGACACACTGTAAAGGGTTAATGTAAAAGTAATGTGACAAGTTAATGTAAAACTAAATGTCAAAAATTACTCTGCTCAACTTTCTGTGACCCTGCTTCCTTGTGGGACCACAAGGAGGCTTGGTGTACCATGGATAAATCAACAATGGACTGAGACTTCCCAGAAAACAATGCTCCCAGAAAAAAATGTATACTGAGTAATGGTCATGCTGTCCCTAAAGGTACTGTTCTATGTTAAATGACAAATCTGTTTGCCAAACAGGGTGCAGTTTCTACCTTTAAAACCTCTATACTTCTAAGGCTCCTGGCCATTTGTCCTCTCCTACGTGAGTATGGTCAAGTGGTCCTGGACCCAGTAATAAAAGGCTCATATTTAAATTTTAATTTGGACTCAGATCTGGTTTCTATGTTGAGAACCCATAACACACATGAAATATCTTTCTCCTCTTAGAAGAAAGACGTTGCCTGTCTCTATTTTCTTTTTCTTCAATTGATGAGCAGGAAGTCTATAAGCAATGCAATTGATTTGCTAAGTTTCAACTAAAGGCTGATATAATTACAAAACACTAAGGAGCTGAGTAAAATGTAAATCATAACCACCTGTTTCCCATAAGTAAGTACCAGCAGATGTTTCTTAATCTCCAGAACTATATCAAAGTGTACTGGTACACAGAAAGGCAGGAAAATTCAAGCCTAAACAGGACATATACTATATGGTCTTCTAACAGTCAAGAGATACAAACACAGGCACCATTTAGCAGAAAACACATTTCTTTTTTTTTTTTTATACCGGGAATCAAACTAAGGACCTTGCACTTGCCAGGCAGGTGCTGTGCCACTGAGCTATACTGCCAGCCCAGAAATCACATTTCTGATCTGCTGCAATTAAAAGACTCCTCCTACAAGGAGGTCACTACAGGCCACACCCACGACATATGAATGAGTTTGCTTCCTTCCATTGAGTCTTCACTACACTGCCTCCTTATCACTGTGTATTAGTTCATGAATTCTACAATAAACTTTGATCCCATAAAGTCTTATAAATCCTATGAATTCTAACAATGAAAATATCCCTAATAAAACATAAAACCTCCTCAGTGACCTTAAGAATCTTCAGACAATTACTGCTCCAAAAGGAGCACACAGAACTAGTTCTTTCTAAAGATCAACATTCAAAGCTTCACCCCATTACCAACAGGCTCCTCTGAATTCCAGCTTGATTGTGTTAGTGGCTTAGCAGGTTGCAACGGTGAAGAATCTATTATCCATAGAAAATTGTGGTAAAGTCGGATATGGTATGTAATTTCAGCATTTGGAAGTCTGGACCAGGGGGGTCACTGTGAGTTTGAGGCCAGCCTGGGACCCAAAGTAAGCTGAAGGCTAGCCTGAGCTAGCTTTTTGTTTTATGTATTTTTCTCTGCCTATAACTTCATTTGCACTAGACAGGAAGAAAAAATAGCAACTTTCCAGAGGAATAAGGACCAGTGAGGTTGCAGAAACCCACAAGACTGAACTGTGAAGAATCTGAAGACAGAGTGAAACTCTGTCTCAAAAGACAGACAGACAGACAGACAGACAGAGAGGAAAAAAGATGATGAGTTGACAGCAAAACAAAGGAGAAAAAGTATTTTTTAAAAAAGGTCCCAAGGGGGCTGGGGAGATAACTAAGTAGAATAAGTGCTTGCTTGGCAAGCACAAGGCCCTGAGTTCAATCCCCAGTACTGAAAAAAAAAAAAAAAAAAAGTCCCAAGGGCCAGCCAGATAGCTCAGCAGATTAAAGTGCCTGCAGGTGCAGGGGCCAGGTTCAATCCCCGATGCTATGCTGCCCCTCCCCACCCCAGGACACTCTGAGAAAGTGACTGAGCTGGGAGTGGTGGCATGAGCTTATAATCTTAGTGCTCGGGAGGCTGAAATTAAGAGGATCACTAAGAGTCCAATCTGTGTAGTGAGATCCTGTACTGAACACATTTTTTTAAAAAGTCCCAAGTCCAAAAAATAAGGATAACTTCTCACAGATGAAACGTAGCAGAAAGAAAAAGAAGGAGAGAGAGGGGAGAACAGAAAAGCTGGCAGGGACCAGGAGCTGTCTTGAAGGCTGCTGTCATCCAGGAAATTTTCAAGACTGTCAAAGGACCCTGACTGGGCCCAGATTCTTTACAATTCAGTTTTTCATACTGGATGGGTCCTGTGGGTTTCTGCAACCTCACTGGTCCTTATTCCTCTGGAAAGTTGCTATTTTTTCTTCCTGTCTAGTGCAAATGAAGTCATAGGCAGAGAAAAATACATAAAACCAAGTATCAAAGAGACAATTGGCCTGCCCTGCTGGCCCCACCCCTGGGGCGTGCTGAGACAGCAACTGAGACTGGGTGTGGTGGTGCACACCTGAAATCCCAGCACTTGGGAGGCTGTAAACAGGAGGATCACTGTGAGTCCGATCTATGCAGTGAGACCCTGTACACCCTGTCCTAAATACAAAAAAGAGAGAGACAACCCACAGTCATCAGTGTCTCCAGAAAATTCCCACTGCCACAAGTTGCTCAGATGAGCCCGAGTCCACAGTGGCATGAGCATTTTACATCCCACAGGGCTGGCGCCTGGCAGCACACACTGCCTCCAAGTACCTCCCTGGAGGACACTTGCCTCTTCCTCCCATCTTCCCTAATTTTCCAGGTTCCACTGTTGTGAACTATGCTGCTCCCCATCCAAAGGCCCTTCTGCTGTTTCTTCTGCACCCCTTCACTCTGCCACTAAAACTCATTCAGTGGAAGCTTCTCCCCTTTCTGCTCAGGCTTGAAATATATAAACAACAAAGCACCTTCGCCAGTTCTGGGCCTCCGTCTCCACCTTTATAATCATTCCTATGATTTCACTTTTCCCCAGTACAGTACATAGACATTGCAAACTTAATGCCTGGTCCACGAACTAACCCTGCTTTCAACCTCTGTGTTTTGTTTTGGTTTGTCTGGCTGTGCTGGGGACTGAACTTAGGTGCCTTGCACTGAGCTACATCCACAGACCTTAGCCCCCCACCTCCACCCCCTGCAACAGTTTTTTTTTTTTTTTTTCCTTAAGACAGGGTCTCACTAAGTGGCTAAATGTCCAAGCAAGGGTTGAACTTTCAATCCTATCTCAGCCTCCCAGCTGGGACTATAGGTATGTGCCAAACACTGGCCCAAATTCTGTTCTCATAAATGATCCCACAGATCCTTCTGTATATCTGAAAATTACAATACTGCATCTTTCTCAGCAAAACATACAGTGAAAATCATAGAAAGATGCCCCCCCAGCTACTTTGTTTTGAAATGGGGTCATGTATTTAGTTCAAAATGGTCTTGAATTCACTATGTACTCCTTGAACTCAAAGTGATCTTCCTACCTCAACCTTCTGAGTACTGAGGTTACAGACATGTGCCACCTTGTCCCACACCCACTTCTGTTTTGAACGGGTCTGTTAAGTACTTTTCTCACCTAAACCTAGTCAAAACTTTTAACCGTCTCCTGAAATTTTAACTGGACTGAAGAATGATTATTATGACCCGATTTAAAACCACCAAACACTCCCTATTTCCTATCCCGCTTTCAACTTTATCATGCAAAAGTCTAATCCACACAAATGCAAAGCTTAGCTATTGTATACTAGGCCCTGTGCTAGCTCTCCTAGACCTAGCCCAGTGCTTTTAACTAAAACACATCAGCAGTGCTTTTTGAATTTTCCTCAGAATACTATAAGACACTGAAAATGCTCTACAAACTTCTATCAACAACAATAGCAGTTTTGGAGAATATCATCATTAAATTCAGGTCAAAAGAATGTTAATTCTGCTTCTTTGGTGAACCTTAACTAAGGCACTCACGAAATATCAATAGTACTACATAAAGACAGGATTCCAACTTTGTCAAAAGCTGTATCTTTCAGTATTTCCTACATAAGACTATGAACCAGATAATGACTTTTTTCATGTGCTCCAGTTTTCAGTCTTGAAATTACAATTCTGGAATTTATAGCCAGTATAAACTTTTCAATCATATTACACAAGTACAATCAAAATAAAAAAGAAAAAACTTCACATCATACCAAGAAAACATAAATACAGGATCTTGTATAAACATTAAAATAGACATAGACCTTAAAAACAAATCTATAGGGGCTGGGGAGATAGCTCAGCAGCATAGGCATCTTCCTGGTAAGCACAAGGTCCTGGGTTCAATCTTTGGTACCAAAAAGAAAAAAAAAAAAAAAAAAAAAAAAAAAAAAAAAAATCTACAAATAAGTTTACACTATTACGTGAAAGGCTAACAAATTCAGCTAAAAGCAGAAGACAGGGACCGGTGAGATGGCTCAGTAGAATAAGCACTTGCCTGGCAAGCGCAAGGGTCTGAGTTCAATCCCTGGTTCTGCAAAAAATTTTAAAAAATAAAAAAAAATAAGTAAAATAAAAATAATAAAAGCAGAAGACATTTTGAAAAGACCCTGAGACTAAACTTGAAAAGGAAAAAGAAAATTTAAAAGAAAACATAGGCCTTTTTTCAAAGCAAGTTTAGAGCAATTTAAAACTTCAATGTAAAGAAAAATCCATCTCTGTAGGACATATATAAAGCAAAACATCTAAAAGCAAAATTCAACAATTGGCAAAGAATTGTTCAAGCCAGATGTGGTAGTAACATGCCTGTAATCCCCACACTCAGAAGGCTGAGGCAGGATGCTTGTTGCCAGTTCCAGAATAACCTGGGCTACAAAGTGAGCTCAAGGCCAGCCTGAACTGAATAGTGAAAAAACAAAACAAAAAAAAAAATTATTCACACAGAAAACAGTTATGGTTGCTCACCTCTACCCCTTCCATGAACAAGCTTTTAAAATGGTAACCCTTAAAAATGAAAAGCATGTTAGGAACTACCAGACAGCTCAGTGGACTAAAGCGCCTGCTTAGGCAGAGCACAAGTGTTCATCCCTGGCATGCAATGCCGGTCCTGCCCCCAAGGCACACTGAGACTGGGATTGAGAATAGGCATGGTGGCACATGCCTGTAATTCCAGAATTTGGGAGTCTGAGAACAGGAGAAGCATGAGTCCGATCTACATAGTGAGACCCTGTAGACCCTGTACTAAATACACACATAAAAAATAAAAATAAAAAACAAAGAGCGTATTTTCCATTTGGCCCTTTTATTGTCCTGTTTACTCTTATCTATCCTTCTTACCATTTCATCTTCCATTAGACATGATTTTTTTTTCCTGAGGTGCAGGCTAGGCAGTCTACCACTGAGCTACATTCCGAAACCCTACATAGGTACATATCCATCCCCTCCACCCCATACAAAACCCTCATAATGGGGATTAAGCCCAGGGCCTTTGCAATGGGTTACATTCCCCACACATTTTTATTTTGAGACCATTTCATCAAGTTGCTAAATTGCTCAGGCTGGGCTCAAACTTGTTCTGCTTTAGTCTCCAAAGTGCTGAGGTTACAGCACGTACTACCAGGCTGCTACTTTTTTTTAGTTTTTTTTTTTTTGGCGGAACCAGGGATTGAACTCAGGCCCTTGCGCTTGCCAGGGAAGCGCTTATTCCACTGAACCATCTCCCCAGCTCTTGGTTTTTTTTTTTTTTTAATCATTTGTTTATTTGTTTGGTACAGGGTCTTGCTACACAGCTCAGACTCATAGTGATCCTCTCAGCCTCCCCAGCACTGGGATTACAGGTGTGTGCCACCATACCTGGACTCGTGACTGGCATGGGGCAGCCTGGGGTTCCAGAGCTAGCATGGCATGCGCTACTGGGGATTGAACCCGGGTCCTTGTACTTGCCACACAGGCCCTTATACCACTGCGCTATCTCCCCAGGCCATAAGCTTGTATTTTTAAACTGCATGAACAACTGGAGCTTAACATTGCATTTCCTAATAAATGCAATGCAGTCTCCCTCTTTATTAAACTAATAATAGACTGAGTACTAGGGTATAAAGGCAGAGCTGGAACTCCAGTTTTTGCTGGCACAGGACGTGGTTAAACTGCCTACCGGCTTAGTTCCTTCTTAGTTACACAGCATCCTCTCCCCACCTACAAAATTTTACTGTGGTAGCTATGGCCTTTCGTGAATGTCCAATCACCATTAAATGAAAGAACTATAGCCCCTAGATAATGTGAGGCTTCTATAAAATACGTACTCAGTCACTGGTGGTTCCTGTACAAATGGATAGTAGGTGGCTGCACAGCTAGGGAAGACACAAGCTTCTGAAGACTCTGTCCACGCGACATTGAGCCCAGCAAACTTGGGGACAAACGGTTTCACATCTGCTGATAACTTCATGCTTCCCTGAGAGGAAAAGGAGGAGAGGAGGCGTTGGATACATACGCTCTGAGATCAATCAAATGTAAACAAAATGAGAGAGGTGCTCCACTCTGGGGTTTTTTGTGTTTTTGAGACAGGGTCTCTCTGCAGTTCAGGGTGGCCTTGAGCTCACTTTGTAGCCCAAGCTGGTTTTAAACTCGAAATGATCCTCCTGCCTCAGTCTCCTGAGTACTGGGGTTACAGGCATGAACCACCACACCTGGCTGATTGGTTTGTTGGGTTTTTTTGGTACTGGGGATGGAACTCAGGACCTCAAGCTTGCCAGGCAGGCCCTTATGCCACTGAGCTATCTTCCCAGCCCAAAAAGTGCTCCACTACGAACAGTCCCCAAAGCTATCATTTAAAAGCTTTTGCTTAATGAAGCCTACAATTCCCTTTGCTAAAAATTTCTTTATTGTGTTCTTTTACTTAGAAGTTTTTTGAATTATCGTAAGTGAAAAACACCAACCAATTAAAGTGGAATTAAAATTCAACCTAGAGGGGCCAGGGAGATGGCTCAGTGGAATAAGTGCTTCCCTGGCAAGTGCAAGGGTCTGAGTTCAATCCCCGGTTCTGCCAAATCAATCAATCAATCAATCAATCAATCAACCTAGATCACATATAAAAGGCCCTTAAGTAACAATGTATTTGTGATTTTAATGTTGGAAATTGGATTTTTTACTTCTCAGTTTTAATTAGACATACAATAACTAAGAAATCTACCCCTAATGCAAGTACACCTGTGAACTGTTTGCCTGCTGCACTCAGAGCATGCTGCATATACTTCCATAAAATCTTTCAAAAACGTTATGAAAATTTCTTTTTACTGTGTAAACTAAGAGCTGCTTTACTGAAAGGGGTATGGTTTGATTCGCAAGAAAATCATTTGATCACAAGTGAGCCCTTCATATGTAAAATAAAACGGTTTTAAAAAAATTCTATTAGTACATATATGACATAATAATATTGACATCCCTTGTGGGAAGCTGGCACATGGACATAACACGTCTTAATTCCTTTTATCTCCTTTTTGTACCTCCCCCCTTTCCACCCATCTTTTCATCCCCTTTTTTATTTTGGTACATTTTTGCAGTACATAATGTTTACAGTCCTTGTTTGGAATTAGCACGTGTACGTAAATGTGTTCCGAGAGGCGTAGTAATTTACTTAGGACTACAGTTTTTAGTTAGCCTAAAGCTAACTTCTGGCTTCTACCAGTTACACAGTGTACAGCGAAGACCGAAATTTCAAAAGCCCCGAAGTGCTTTTCGGTAAGCTGCTCCTTCCCCAGAGTGCGGCAAGTCCACCGAGATGCCCAACCCTGCCCGCCAGGCAGGGGCAAGGCGGCCGTCCCCAGCTCTCGCGGCATCACACTACCTCCTGCGCCAGCCGCGGGCGGAGCCTGGGCACCCGGCCACCAGGCGAGCCCGGGGCAGGATGCGGGTTCTAGGCCGCTCGGATACCGTCAGCGGCTCCTACCCACATCCACCGACCAGTCCTGGGAACACCCGCCTGAAACTCCGGTACAAGCCAGGCCGACAGGCTGAGGCCGGCGAGAGGCCACACCAGCCCCTTGCGGCCCTTACCGTGCCTTCAGGCCCCCACGGCCCCCCTGACGCCATGGCAGGCAGGCCGAAGGAGCCAGCGCCCGCGAGAACCCGTACCCAGCACTGCAGACAATTCGCGTTTCCGCCTTTGGGGGAGCGTGAAGGAGTACGTCATCAATCTACGACGGTCTAGCCCCTTTTCCGGCCGCAAAGCATGAGGGCTCTAGACCTGCGCGAGCCAAAGAGGCTCGTGACTGCGGCGGTTGAATTGCGCAGCAGCTTGATGTAGGACACGCCGGGTTATCTAGTGATTCCAGTCAGGGCCGCAGGGACTTAAAAACGGCCAAGTGAAGCCGTGGTTTTCTCATGCCCCGTGGCCTGTTGGTTCTGTTTAGGAATGCAGGAGGGCTTCTTGGGTACGGTCCCCTACAAAGCACCATCCTTGCCTTCCTACGCTTTCCTAATAGTCCCGCTAAGTTGTTCACTTAAGGGGATATTTGCATACCCTGTAAGTCCTCCGCACCTGGAAGCACACAAGCCTGTTTATTGGCATCTCATGACTTAAAACTTCCACTGGTTTGGAATTAACCGCATAAAATAAGTGCACAGTGTTTCACCAAGTGTTGAACACAGAATGTGCTAAGGTAAGGAGATGGAAAGGTACTTTTTACAGGTGGGAAAAATACTAAAGAGAAAATTAAAATTTGAAATAAAAACCTACTTAGGATGCCTAAGACCAGGCGGACATACCCAGCAAGCCAGATAACAAAACTTTTCCCTTTATGTAAACCTATTTTTGTGGACTTTCTGACCTTGTAACCTGAAATATGACTTCCTCTGGAACTCATGGCCTGCTGAGACAACGTAGTAAACTTCAGCAACCCATGATGTCACCCAGCCCTCCAATCATATGCACCACATCTGCTTCTGTACCTGTTGTCCTTCTCCCATTCAACCCCCCATGGGGCTGGGGAGATGGCTCAGTGGAATAAGCGCTTCTCTGGCAAGTGCAGGGGCCCAATCCCTGGTTCCGCCAAAAAAATAAAGCCCCCAAACCCCAACCAGCATGGCTGACAGGAGCCCACCAGTGTAATAAACTGCCTAAAACTTCTTGGTGCTGTTTCTTCCCTTGTTTGGCCCATTTTCTGTGACAGCACTACACAAGGCAGGGCAAAATGCCACCAGCACCGAGAAATTGTTTCAAGGGCAGAAGTCTAAAGGAAAGCCATTTCAAAAGACCATTAACACTCAGGCTTGGGAAAAGGGACAGGTGGACCAGAGGAAGCCTATGAGCAATGTAGTTCATGAATGAGTTAAGATGACACAAGTTGTAGATTTTCTGCCACTTTTATAGACTTGAACTGGTAAAGCAAAAACCAGAGGTAGCTCCAGTCCTTGTTTAAGTGGGTCCTACAAGTTTGGTACTACTACTGAATCTGTGCTGGAGGTTGAAGGGTAGCTGTCATCCTCCCACTAAGGCACCCTATACAATACGGTTGTTTACTGGCTTCTCATTCAAAATGCTCCTCTGGTATAGCAATAATCTGTTTTCATTTAACACTAAAATATTTCCTTAGCAGTCAAATGGATGAAAAATACATTATGGCATGAAAACATTTACAGTGCTTCTCAACCTTCAAATATTCCATGTTTTTAATAGGAGGTATTATCTTCACTTAGCAAATGGAGAAAAACATGCACAGGGTTAAGTGGTGGCAACCCAGAGCATTAAACTGGGCTTTCCTGTTCACTTGGGAGATCCTAAATGTCTAGAAATTGGACTAATGACAGCTATAAAATGTGCTCTGCTTCTAGTTTTAACATATCCCTGGCTTCTCAGCTTCTTCATTAAGTTGAAACAGTACCCCCCATACCATGCTATTTTAAATCTCCTTAATTTAAAGGAAATTCAAAGTTCTTTTAGGTTTATTTCCTCAAACCCATAATTATAAAATCAAAACCAATCTGAATTAGTCACAAATCAACTGGGAAAATACACCTAAATGACTTCAAACAGAGATAAATGCAACATACAAACTTTATTTAACAAAAACAGGTAACATCAAACAGGCACTTTTATTAAAAAGAAAAACTGTCTAGAAGAAATGTCTTAAACACCTTACAATAACCTACTTGTAGTTGCATTTAACTGAGCTCTGTTGCTGTGAAGAATACAGCTCATGCACAGGTATGGAAGAATGATTTGTACATTTTTCAAGTATTCACTGAATACTACCCTTATATACACATATACATTAAATTTGAAAAAGATTTAACTGTTGATCCAAGATACATTTCATTTTTGTTGTTCTTTTGGAAGAGGTCGTCTGAACAGAAGAATATGCGGTTCTGTGGAAAGAAAATGTAAATAATTCAATATAGTTCAGTCAAAACAAAATGAATCAACTAGCTGGTTTCAAGTGAATTTTGCTTCAGAGGCACTTTAAACAGAAAATGGTCTAACAAAAGATTGCTAATATTTTAGTTTTTAATGGTGTTTTTACTCAATAGGAGTAAAAGACAGTTTTAATTCTACTTTATGTATTTTCAGATTTTGTTCCAAGGTGGCTCGTGCAGAGCCATAGCCCAACCTCGAAAGCATTGTAAATTAAGTTAAATAATAATACAAAAATAGAATTCAAGCCCTCAACACTTCATATTAGTTTATTTAATGCAAAAGCTTTTGGTTAATATTACAACAGTATGATACACGTCAAATATGCCTAATTTGTTATGGCTTGTGTATAGTTGCGCCGCCCCCCCCCCCGGGGGGCCTCATGCAGTCTTGGAGTGGCTTCTTGACTTGTGATTGAATACTGTGGATGTGGACAGTTGCACCTGGGGGGGGGGAGGTAATTTGCATTACAATATAAGGAGGGGGGGGAGGGAAGCTAGCTGCCTGAGCTGCTGCTGCTACTCCTCGAGATCACTCTTGCTCTTTGCTGCTACTAAGTAAGGTTGCCCTCTGCTGTGTGCCACTCTGCCTTGGAGCCAGCTGAGCATGGACTGAAACCTCCATTAACTGTGAGCTAAATAAACCTTTCTTTCCTTCATTTCATGTCAAGTGTTTGTCCCAGCAAGGAGAAAAGAGTAACTAAGACACTTGTATAGCACAGCTGAAACCAAATTACTATCTTTCATAATGAAGTGAGTATCCTTTCTGGGTGCTAAAATAAACTCACTTTTAATTGTATTGATATCTATAACGGAACTTAAAGACATTTGAATTATCTCTTGTTTTTTGTACTGAGGATCAAACTCAGGTCCTTGCACTTGCTAGGCAGGAACTTACGCCACTGAGATATCTCCCTGACCCTGAATTGTCTTTTAAGTACTTAGTTTTAACATAAGGGACAAGGAAATTCTAGGTATACTTTTCAGATACTATTACCCCATGACACATTTTATAACATAAGAGTAGCTACTTCTCAACATTAGTTATTCTTGTGGGTAGAATATATTATATTCATCCCCGTTGCATTTTTATTTAAAATAACACATTCTAGGGAGCTAAGGAATTAGTTATTAAAAAGAAAATCCAAATTTTCTTGAGATTATCATTCAATGTACGTATTACAAAAATACTCAACTAAACCACTATTTTGTTTATTTTTCAAAACCACTATTTTAATTCAGCTAACACTTTACAACAAAAAAATGTACCTGGCTCGTGAATCATGTAATGAACCCAGCCTAGACTCTGCTGGACACCAAGTCTTCTCCATTCCTCTTCAGACATCAGATGAGTTTTGGGTACTTGTTTGGACAGTTCTCTGGGCAACATAACATGCCTGTTAAAAGGTACAATCAAGCATTAGTTCTTCATTCCTTATGATCACTTCATACACCACTGAAAATTTGAAGTTTTTGTTATCAAAACAAACTTCTTTAAAACAATTCTATATTATAATACAGATGCCAATCTTTAGCATTTATCTGGTTTTTGGGAGCCTATTCAAATTCAGAAATCCACAATATGCTGTCTAAAAAGCAGTGGACCATCTATACATTTTTTTTCTGAAAAACAATTTTGCTTGTAAATCTCCAAAAACAGAACACCCAAATCTAAACTGTGTACATATGAAGGATGGATGGCACAGCCACAGTGGTTAAGGAACCTGATCCCTGACTGCAGAGTTGTCATCCTGGCCCCATACTGGACTTTTCATGAGGAAAACACAGTATATAATTCCAGAAACAGATAACTTGTTTCCTTTACTTATCACATCTAGTTTACAAGTTCTTGTAAAACTCCACAAGCTGTTTTTATTTTTATTTTTTGGCTGGCTCAGGATATCTTCAGGGCAGGTCTGGTAAGGCATGAAGATATGGGGATCAAACCACAGCATCCTGAGCCTGACTGCTTTGTCTAAGCAGGCACTTAAATAACTGAGCTAACTGGCAGGCTCCCACACAAGTTTTTTTAACCTCAAAATTTAAAAGAAAAGTATATACCCACTGCAAATGTTTTTGCAACTTCATACTCATCTTGTTTTCCAGTTAGTTACTGATATACTCAAATCTTTCAATTTAAGAGCATATAAAAAAATCCAGGCCAAATAATGATTATGTGTAACTGTAGCCCTGCCACACTCTTAAAAATAAAACTGCACTCAAATTCCCTATTACCATATAAATTTTTATGAAAGCCCCATTCCTACCACTTCAGGAACAATACTAGCTTTGCCATTAGCACCAATTTTGACCATTACCAATGAGTTGACCAACTGGGAGATGATAAGTGCAGTCTGGTCACTTGTTGGCACATACTCCATAGAATTTGTATCATTTCTCATAAATTAAATGGAGATTCTTTATACATACTAGTTACCTCACTTGAGGAGGAGTTTGGGAGATGAAACCTAAGGAGACCTGAGTCACACCCACAACTGTATCTTTTACTTGGAAACAAGGACCCAAGCTGGGCTCAAACCTGAGAACCTTTCTGAATGCTAGGATTATAGGCATGTTCTACATTTGATTATCACACTCATTCTTGAAATGCTGGTAACACCTAACTTTTGAGCCTCTAC